TGACCGGGCCAGCAGGGGAGGGCAGTTGGGGGTGACCGGGCCAGCAGGGGAGGGCAGTTGGGGGTGACCGGGCCAGCAGGGCAGGGCAGTTGGGGGTGACCAGGCCAGCAGGGGAAGGCAGTTGGAGGCTATCGGCCGACAGGGGAACAGTTAGGCGTCAATTGGGCTGGCAGGGGAGTGGTTAGGGGGTGATCAGGCTGGCAGGCAGAAGCGGTTAGGGGCAATCAGCAGGCAGGCAGATGAGTGGTTAGGAGCCAGCAGTCCTGAATTGTGAGAGGGATGTCTGACTGCCCACTGTGATCGGGCCTAATCGGTTCCCAGATTGGAGAGGGTGCAGGCTTGGCTGAGGGACATTCCGCGCCCCACCCCCGCCAGTGCACAAATTTCATGCACCGGGCCTCTAGTTTATCTATATAAACAGGGAATAGGTAATTAGCGGAGCATCACGACCGCTCAGAAGAAGCTTCGCGGGTACATGGGCGGGAGGGGACTGTGTGCCGCCCCCACCCCAGTGGCCTCGGGGAGGCTGGGGCTGGGGGCAGGCCAGAGTGGAGACACCACACACAGAGAGGCTGGGGCTGGGGGCGGGCCCGAGTGGAGACACAACACACAGGAGCGCCTGCCCCCACGCCAGCAGAACACAACACGGCAGCGGGGGCAGTGCTCAGAGCAGCCACTGCGCAGCTCGGAGCTACGTGGGTCAGGCGCGGGTCCAGGCCCCCCACGGGGTGCCTCCTCATACAGGGGGAGGCGGGGTGCCTCCTCGCGCAATTTCAATTGCACGCTGGGCCCCTAGTTTTAATATAAGTATTACTGCTACATTTTTAGTCTACTGTAGAAATTCTTATTTTGGCCATTTTTTACCATTTATAGAATATGTGTACTGGTATATCACTGTTTATTTAAGAAACCTCACAATGTTTCCAGACAAAAATATTTCTATCTAATACTGAAAGCTTGGTAGAAAGAGTGAATATAATTTACTCTAAAAACAAAAGAAAAGTAGAATCCTGAAATCCAGCACTTCTAACACTGATCATTATTTTTATTTGAAAAGAACAAAGTAATCTGAAGCATGTCTGTCTTCACATAATTTTTAGAAAATCTCTCTGTACTTTTATTTTACTTTCGAATTCATTACCTTTTCAAAGAACTTGGGCCAGTCACTGCTGTGGATGTTTCTTAAATGACCTCTGTCTTCAATCTTGTAGGGTCTGATTTTCTGGTCTTCAAGCCAAACAATAAAGTTTCTAAATTCTGTTTCATCTGCAACAAAAAAACACCGTATAAATTACTAGAAGCACTTCCTTCACCTCCAATAAGTGGTTTTGTGGAACTTTCAACTCCAAAAACAAGAAGTTAATTGAGCTGCTCAAAGTAGAGGTTGAAAGTGCAGACTTTGGGTCAACAGATTAAAAAATGTTCTGCTCATATCTTGGCCTAAATTCAAATTCTGGTTCCAGACACTTAGTGGTTGTGTAAACTTGGGCTCACCACCTTAATTTTCTCTGCCTCAGGTTCTTGAGTTACAAGATGGAGGCAATAATAGGGCTTACCTTATAGAGTTGTTATGAAAATTAAACGAAATACGATTAAAAATGTCTGGTAGATAGTTTTGGCTACTTCAGTGTTATTATTCCAGTTCCTTTGGAGAGAGGGACGGGGCAAGGTTAAATGTACAGCAAAGTAATAATAAAGCAAATGACAAAATAAAAAGAGGATACCGTTGTCACTGTTACAGCACATTAAGTGCATACATGAGAAACTACACGTTGTTTCATTTAATCCTTCCACACGCTTTTGAGGTAATAGCCCCCTGCCCCCCTTCACAGATGAGAAAAACTGAGGCTCAAATCCTGACCTAAACTCTATTGCCACTGACGCCTTTTTGTTAAATAAAAGGCAAGACAGAAAAACAAGACTCTATTAAATTGATATGCTTCTATGGAGAGCAACAAGACACTGTTACTCCTGCTGAGAAACTATTTTCTCTCTCAAAGTCCAGCTCCCATTGTGAAGTCCGGAGGACTAACTACACCATGAACGGTCTGAGGCTCGCAGGCCGTGCACCTGGACCCCTTTCGGGCTGTGCTGGGCGGCAGTCAGGGAACCGTGGGTGGCCACGCCAACGCCTCAACATGTTTTAATGCTGGAAAACCCAAACGCCTTCGTATTTACAATCCAACCACCCCGTTCACCTGCTGTCAACCTTCTCCTACGACCCACACCAGGGGATTAGCCCGTCACTGCATCGCTCACTCCAACGCCATCGGTCCCGGTCCGGTCCGGGACGGGCTGGGTGGGCTCCGGGTGCCCCCACACCCACCCTCACCCAGCAGTTCCCGGCGGGCAGGGAACTGGTCTCCAAATTACTCAGCATCTTCCTCAGCTCCCAGCTCGGCGGGGCCCACAGCAGGTGCTCAAGGTGCCGCCCCACCACCCGGAAGCCGTGGAGTTGAAGGACTAAGTTAGAAAGCGAATCTTTCTCTAGTGCGCTGGGGGCTGGGGGCGGGGGTCATGGTTGGA